CTATGCTGAACATTTTTGTGTGGTTTTTAACTTCTTTTCTGGAGTCGGTTTGATTACTTCTTTCATTTATTTATTAAAATCCATGTTGTATTTATAAAAAGACAAATCCCTTCATACATAAGCCTTTCCACCCCGCTATGGGAGAGGGAAGTGAGAAGTCTACTGGCGCTGCCCTTCTGCCACGATGGTCCATCTTGCAATAAGGCTTCCAGTTGTCAAAGTTTTTCTTATTTCTCTGCTTCTGACCCCTTTCGTATTAGTATTTGTTCTGATGCTGTTACAGTGCAGTTGATCCCTGAGATGAGCTCATATAACCAAGTTGTGTACTCAGAGCACATAAGCGTAAATCCACATTTCTCAGCTCTCTCGTTCTATGACCCGGCAAGTTTTTAAACCCACTGGGGCTTGGCTACTCCACCTGTGAAATAGGGAAAGTGAAGTAGCTTTGTAATTTGATGTTGTTAGGTTGTACTGGAAGGCTAGAAATGATGTTCACACTCTAGCCATTTAATGACTATTAACTAGCCCCGTTTCTATCTGCCTGGTACACATTTATGAATTTATTTTTAATATCAGGTGCCAGACCTTCATTTAGAGTCACAGCAGTCTTAGGTGCTATAATGTATTCATATGATCATCATACTAGCTCTAACATCCCTTAAATGCTTCCGATGTGCCAAATACCCTTTTATGTGCTTTATGTAATAACTCAGAGGTTCTTTTAATATTCTCACTTTGGAGATTAGGGAAGGAGCACAGAAAGTCAAATCAACTGGTCAAAGTCACTCTAGTAATCAGTGACAGAAATGATCTTTGAACCCAGGCAGTGTGACTCTATGTTCAGATGTCTGATTTTAGTCAATACACAGTACTGCTATTTCTGCAGGTAAGAAATCCGCAGTTTAAAATGGTTAGGTAGCTTACCATTATATGACAAAGGAAGAGTCATATACAAATTTCTGCACAATATTTATGGCTATACCACCGAACCACTATAAGCAAATTCACCTCTTTGTTTCTCTGAACTTCACCATATTACCTGCAATAAATATCTTGATCACCTTGTACTTCCTGGTTTCATAAATCTCTCTTCTATCCTTTCCAGTGGGTTTTATACTCATTTTGCTTTAAGGACATAACGATCACTTTCAGTCACTCATGATGATCAACCCCAACTGTACCATTCCTCCAAGGTTGTGGACTCTGCTGTCCTTACTTGTGCTCCCTGAGGCACCGTGTCCAGTCGTTTTCAATATCACCTTAGTTTCTGGTGCAGCCATGTGCTACATGATGATAGTTTAGTCAATGACAAGCCATATATCTCATGATGCTCTTATAAGACTTTCCTACCTAGTGATTTAGCCATCATATTTGGTTCACTAAATCACCAAGCGATACCTTTCTCAGAAAGTGTCGCCCTCTTGCACCGATCCACCACTCTATATAAAATAACTCTCCATTTTCAGAACTTTGTGGATCCATTCCATACTTTTCAAATTTCTCCTTTATTTGTGTTCATCTTCCATGCCCCAGCTAGAAGATTCCCTGTGAAAAGTTTGCTTCCTGTTTAACCTCTCTGGAAATGGACCTTCCCTCTTATATTTTATTTGCATTTCTGTTACGGCCTTTGGCATGTGTTGTCTCCTGGTTCCCTTTTATTTCCTCCCCATCTCCTTGTACGCTGAGATCCATCTTGTCTGTTGCTTGTCTGATAGCCTCACTTAGATGAAAGAGCACAGATTTTTATATCAGGAAGCTCTGCATTCAAATTTAAACTCTATCTCAGACTCACTGTTTTTCTTAGCCTTTTTATTTCAACTTTCTTATTTGTAAAAGATGAGGAAAGTCTAACACAGGAGGCTCACATGAGTGTCAGATGAATTGATCTAGATGTAGAAAGTAGAGTGAGGTGTTCTGTAACTCCTAGACCCTTCAATATCACAGATGTTCCAAATATGAATGTGTAAATAAATGTTGAGTGGGGAAGCTGCTTTAGTTTTGACTGTGTGGTGATAGAAAGCTCAAAAGCTTTTTTCATAGTACAGGATTTTGTTAATTAGAATTATAAATAATTGGATATTAATTTGGGTAGAAATTATATAAAATAAGATCATGCGAAGTTTGATAGATTTTATTCTTTACTAGCATTTTCAGAAGAAATACTCTCTTAGCCACTTTCTGCATTGCTGGGTCAAATAGCTGACAGACACATCTTAAAGGAGTGGAGATTTATTTTGATTCACAATTACACTCCATGGTCAGTTGGCTCCAAGGCAGAAACAACATGGAGGGTCCTGGATGGAGGGAAGTTGCTGATGTCATGGGGGTCAGGAAGCAGAGAGAAATGGAGGGGAACCAGGAAGGGAGACGCTGTACACCTTTCCAGCTTCTGCCCCTAGGCAGCCACCCGTCTAACCAGACCTTCCCTTCTCACTACAATCCAGCTGCAGCCACAGCACCCCATAGTTCTCTCATGTGCATGTGAGGCATTTTGATCTAAAGTCTAAAAAATGTCAAGTACTAATAAAAAAGGAGAGAGGAATTAATGAACTGAAAAATGTTTAGACGATGTAAGGGCTTCTATCTTTAGGACCACGATTCAGGGCACTTGTGCAAGGTAAACGTTGAGAGTGAGCTCTTGCCATATTATTGGAGGAACGGTAGAATGATTTCAAGTGAGTTTGTTTTACGATCCTGCCATAGCTTATGCATTACCAGGGGTAAGTCTCAGTGGCAAAATAAGTAAGATTAAATAAGATTTAAATAAGATTAAATTGTTTCTGACGTAGGTCTCCCTTATTTAGCACAGGTTAGAAAGTCAAACAAGTGCATTCGCTTATGTAAGGATTTGTTTCTTTTTCAAAATAGGAATATATTAATGAGACACGTGCCACCAGGCTGTGATATGGTTGTGGGTGTTTACGGCACGTGAAATATTAGCATAGCATCCATCAAGTCAAATAGACACTCATTAACTTCAGCTTTGACCATCGTGGGCATTGATCAAATAGCTCATAATTGATTCAGTTCTACTGGGGGCTGAATTTTGTCCATAGAGGATGTTTGAAATTTGCTAGGGACATCTTTAGTAGCTATAACTTGGTGGTGGAAGGGAGCATGCTACTGGCATCTACTTGGTAAAGCACAGAGGTGCTACTCAATGTCATAAACCCACACATTAGAATCATCCAGCCCATAATGTCCAGAATGCAGAGATGAAGAGATTCTAAGCTAATGAATAAGTAAAATTCACTTTTCACCAACTTGTCTAGTAACAGGTCTATTTAAAAACCTTTCTAAAAGGGGGAAAGAAAGTGCCAACATAAAGTTATATTCACAGAAAATAATATTTATACATTGCCTCTCCAAAAGAATTATTAAAAAGACACAAATGTTATGTAAACCTGGATACAAAAACTTTTTCCTTAAATCTTGGCAGGCAGTATCATCTTTGACTTAAAACTGAAGATAACTATCACACAGAGGGCCGAGGGAAAATAAGCAGGCTTTTCAGATGATTAGTGACCACCTCCATGGAGGAAGCCCCCAAGGGAGGCTGGATGCAGCCTGCAGATATTTTTACACAACAGTGCTTGACCAGGTCCATGATTGCTTTTAGAAAAAAAGAGGCATTCCATTTCAGTCTTTCATGAAAAAATTTTGTCAGATTTCAGTATCAAATTATCAATAACTGTGTATACGAACCTAGCAACCTTGAAGAATGTAAATACTGTATGTGTAAATATGAGCTAAGATTAATCATATCAACAAGAATGGAAATGGAGAAAGGATAATTAAAAGAGGAGAGACATGGGGGAATGGAAGGGGATTTAAAGAATTAACAAGTTATAATATGTACACTTACAGTACTCACTCCCCAAGATGATTGCAAACTGTTCTGCAAACATGTCCTAATGAAAAATATAAATAAAAATAACAAAGTTATGATGAAAAAAAGAAACCCAGTTCTTTAATAGTTAGACTGGAATGGATCCTTGGAAAAAATTGGAGCAGCCAATTTTTGACTGAATTCAGTTCATGATTTGCTGAAACTTTTTCCAGACACCCAGAGGAGCTCATTAGTGATAACATCTTCCCAAAACATCTCTTCAAGAGAATAATTCTAAAGTTATCAAGTTGAGGAAATTTTTTTCTTTCTTAGGAAAACTGTAGAAGACCTTTTTAAAAAGAAAAAATGATGGAATAGAATAGAAAACTCACTGACAAATGGGTAAAGTGTTTACCACCGTATGTATTCAACTATTTCTTGAACCATGTGTACTCATGATGTAGGTTGTGTATCTCAATCTACGCATCTACTCTTCTGCCTCCAACAAAGAGAGAAAGTGGGGGGGGAGGGAGAGAAAATTGAGGTGGATATATTGTGTCATTATTTCTATTATGAAAACATGTTGTGAGATCTAATCATGAGCTTTTCCTGGGGGTATTTAAGATATGCTTGTCTTTATAAAATTTCTCTATATACAGAGCTTTCAGGGAGGTTGCCAAGTTGGATAATGCGACTCAGAACTCTGTTTATGCATTCACTGCTTTATGAACAACTCTTCAGAGAGCTTCAGCTGTGTAGTGGGCACTGCACTAAGTGCTGGGGCTAAATCTCTGTGAAGAGCAGGATTTTGTTTAAACTTAAAAAGCTTACACTGTAGACTGAGATTTGGACAAAGCACACATACAATGATTCATTAAATATTTGCAAGTTGTAAATGGGTCTATGAAGAAGTAACTGTCATCATATCGGTCAGATCCTCTTATTATTATTTTTTGCATCAGATGATATACATAACTTTTAGATACTTTAAAATATGTATTTATAAAGGCTAGCCATTTGAGTCCAGAATATATTTTATTATTTCAGAAAAGAACTACCTTAAATTACTAGTTATTGTTGATTACCTTAAGCATTACGTTTGACATGTGAAGTTTAGATCTGTGTCTGTAAAGTGCTGAAGCAAAACAGTGTTTGATCTTTTCTTTTTCAGGGTGTTTGGAGCCGCCATACTTCTTACCTCCACCCTAAACATGCTGATCCCATCAGCAGCCAGAGTGCATTATGGATGCGTCATCTTTGTTAGAATATTGCAGGGACTTGTTGAGGTATGGAACTATAGGATGACATCATTTTACATTGGTGTGTTATTGAGAGCCACCGATTTAACTCAGTCTTCTATAAAGAAACCTATTTTTAAATTGTGCCATTTACTGTTAGTGTAAAAAATATTGAAATTGTTAGGCAATCAGATATTTGAGAGTGGAACCCAGGACTTCATGCATGCTAGGCAAGCACTGTACCTTTGAGTGAGCCCTGGCGCCCAGTCTTTGAGAGTTTTATACCCACTCCTTGTTGTCCTAGAGTCATCATGTTTTCATTGAAATATTTCACTGGGTATAACTTTTGGGCATCTTTATCTAATGATTGGCTTCTGTTTCCATCCTCTTGTGGACTTTGAAAGAACATCAGCTGAAAAGTGAGTTTGGACTAACTATTGTCACTTTCTTTCTGTGGTTTATGGTGGAAATAGATAATCTAAAATATTAAGGCACTGAAAAAAATCCTTCTTCAAAAAGTAAAAAAGTTATACAATCACGATAATAGAAACCAGGGAGTTATTTTAAATGTTTTAGGTTCTAGACACTACTTCTAGGATGTATTATCACCTAATAGCCCAGTCCCACCTGACTGGTTTTGGAGGAAAATCATTGAATTTAATGCCTTCCAAAATTTTCCAACCTATTAAGAATTTCAGCCAACTGGAGTAAAGAGGCCTTTCTTTTTGCCTTAATTGGAAGAAATTTAAGGTGGAAGACTGACCAGAAAGGCAGAATTTGATCAGGACACAAAGCGCACTGTGTCATATACGATCTGGACTGGAACTTCCGGGAGTCATTGAGGGCCCCTGAGTAGCAGCTGTCTCTATAGCTTGTGACAACCCTATAGGAAAGAGCCACAGGGAAGGTGATGGCCCTATTTTCCTATGACTTTGTGCCCTAAAAGGTGACGTTTGCTTTCCTTGTCACAGGGTGTCACCTACCCAGCATGCCATGGGATTTGGAGCAAGTGGGCCCCTCCCCTGGAGAGGAGCAGGCTGGCGACCACGTCCTTCTGTGGTGAGTGCTGGGTGCAGATGTGGTTACATGGGGTGAAAGCACAGGAGGAACGTGCCAAGAATTACAAATTTTGGTAAACTTACCTTTAGAACTGTTGGAGTTTCAACCACCATTCCAATTTCTTTAGCACTTAGTGCTCTCTTTAAACTATCTATTTATTGTGTTTCATATTTTTCTAGAAATTGATTTGCTTTAGTTTTTCAAGTATATGTATGGGAGATTTTTAGAATACCATCTTATCTTTTCAGAATCTGAGTTCTATTTCTTGTTAAAAACAATTTATTCAAAACAAATAATATAAATTTTAACATTGACAAAGGTGAAAATACAAAGAAATAAAGACTGTTGACTTGTGTTAATGTTAAAGCATTGATTTTTACTTGGAATCCTAGCAGGTATTAAATCTAACAATTTATTAGAATTTCTATTTAATATAAATATATATTATAATTATAGTGGCCAAATGAGGATACCCAAATCATACCCCTCAGAAAATAACTATTGTAATTAAAATCAATATAGTCTTTAACTCTTCTCCTAAGTACTATTAGTACAATTTTCTATTTTTCTACAACTTTAATTTCCAGATAAAAAACTGATCTTGCTGCTATTTAGGAAACAAAATTAATATACATTTATTAAACCTCAGTCTAAAGTTTTAAAACTTAGAGCTCTTTTGCCTAATGTGAAACTATAATCACTGCAAACTTTTAAAATATTCTAAGAAAATCATTTAAGAAACGACTTAAGGTCATGTTCTTTATTTGTCTGTAAAATGTTTTCCATTTTTGTACCCAAACCCTAAAGCGAGGAGGTAATTCCTTTTCATAACAGATCAAGTGAGAATATAAACCAATTTTAAAACTCAAGAACTTTGAATGATAGCAAATAATCTTACCAACATGAAATTAGGCTATATTTCCCATATATCCAAACCATAATGAGTGATTAGCAATATTATTGCCTACTGATGTTGAACTTCAAAGCATCTGAGCTTAAATTATGGGGCAGAAATATGACCTTTTTTGTGCATACATCTAAGACACTGTTTTCATAATAGCCTTTGATAAGTTTTCAGATGTAGTTAGAAAACACCATGAAAACCTAAACTGCTACAAGAAGATGTACACTGGAGTTTCCGGAATGGCTTTTCAGGGTCTGGTTACTATTGAAACACAGGGCCGAGCCCAGCCCGCGCCCTTGGGGGACACAGAACAGCCAGCGGGACTCCTTCATTGTTTTACAATCTCTACTGCATATTGGGTTGAAGGGCAGTGTAGTCACCACGTATCTGTGAGCAAGCGCACACACGTTTGGTAAGGGTGTGCCTGTGTGTGGGTGTACATGCACCAGCGAGTGCGAGTGTATTTGTGCGAACAGACCCTGAAACATGACACCAAGTCGAAATGTCTATTGACTTCACTTATTTTCCCCCCATTCTCCCTTGTCCCCTAGGTTCCTATGCTGGGGCTGTGATTGCCATGCCTTTAGCCGGTATTCTTGTACAGTACACTGGGTGGTCTTCGGTGTTTTATGTCTACGGTACGTCACACTTCCTTACGAGATGTGCGCAGGCTAAGAGAAACAAGGTGGCAGACAATGACAGAGGCCACTGAATATATTTCTGTTTTATTTATTTATTTTCTCGCCTTACGAATCGTTTCTTCATTTGAAGAAAAACAATCAAAATGTTTTAATTCTGCTATTTCCTTACATCGGTATTTATCGTTTTAAAGAGCAATACAAATGCTGCCGAAGACTATGTGATGTCGGAAATCTGTTTAATTATGAAGATTAGATCTTCGTTAAAAGCTGATGAGGAGGAAAGAGCAACACAGCAAACTGACTCTTTCTTTTGCCCTTCTTTCTTGGACGTTTCCCTGGCTCTGCTTCCTCAAGTCTGAACAGGGCCGGAAAGTAGGGAGAGGGTGGAGTTATGAAAGCTACGATGCCATTTTGTGCTGAAATATCCATAAACAGCTACCGTACATACACAGTAGTACAGTGCTACATCCTAGTCTTTTCTTCCCCAGAATTAAAGGCAATTAAGCCCTTGTCTTGAAATAAAAAAAAATGAAACCCTAAATCTAAACACACTAACAAAAAACTGAAATCTTGGCGTTTGAAAGTACCCCTAAAATCTCTCTCTCCAAGACCCATCTTGTGATAATGAAGAACGGAAAACTATTAGAACTGGGGTCCAGTTGAAATTGTCATGGATTAATGGCATTTTCGGATAAGGCCACAAGAGAGTATGAAGTATTAATAAAATCTTGCCATAGATGAGCGACAGGATGCTTCCAATTTCACCTTAACTTGGTCTCATTTTTCAATGTCCTCATCAGAGCGAATGATCCTTCTTGCAGGACCTCACTAAACGACACTTTATCAAGCGGTCTCTTTGGAAGCTCAAAGGCCATTGACAGAGGTGGTTTGGATTCATGAAGGCCCTAAATATTAAACCATATGTGCACTTTTGTACATTTTTCTAGAGATGTATTTTCTTATGAGGTTTTAATTCACACTTTTCATTAGATTTTTTTCAAAGGATCCATGATTCAGCAAAGTCAAAAGCAAAAGCACTTGGTTGTAAGGTGCATAATAATTAGTCTATCAAGCCCTTGGGTTCGTGACATGACTTTAAACACTAAGCACATTTCTTCAAAGCTTGATCGTTTTTAAGGGGGAAAAGAGTACTAATTTAAATAAAGCACTGATTTAAAAATTAGCATCAGTATTTCAATATCTCCCTTAATGTTTATCATCGATTGGTGGAAAGTCAAGGCGTAAATATTAGTTCATCTATAAAATCATAATACTTGCTGACTTGCTGTCTGTGACAAAAAATAGCTCTTGAGTTACACATTTGATATTTATGTTTTTAAATTAATGAGATAAAGCTTGTATAGCAGCGTGAGGTGCACGAGTCAACTAGAAGAGGACATAGCATTTTAGATAAATTTAGATAAGGGTCATGATAGTTACTACTGAATTAGAAGAGCGCTTGCTGATTAGATACTTAATTTATACCATCCAGTGTTCTGGTTTATTAATACATTATCCCTTTTCTCTTTACTTTGCTCCAATCCTATACAATAATTTGTTTTCCACGGTATAGTGAAAGTTTAGAGAGATTCGGCTCCTGATTGGCTCATGCGGCTCGTGAGTGACAGCAGGAATGTGATTGTGGGCGTGTCCTATTTGTATTCTACCACATTTCCACTACATTTTCAGTTTCACACCCTGGTTCCAAAGCATGTTTGCTTGCACGCTGTGAACACAGGACTAACAAGCTATGTACAGTATTAAGAGCATTTCTTGGAGATTTGGTAGGCAAAAAAATAAAGTACAAGAGAGCTCAAGGTTCTTAGGTTGTTACCCAGGGGACAAAAGGAACAGTTAAAGTAAAACTGAAATAGCTCAGTGCTAGGAAAACAGAATAAATTCCTGGAAATTCTTTGTTGCCTTAATACTCACTTATTTATACTGTACAGTGAGCACATACTTTAATATTTAGAGTGCTGAATAAAGAAGAGTATGAACAGAACTTCCATCCATTTTGTGGCCACAGAATTCCTAACCTTCGGCTGCCCCAAGACTGTTCAATAGTGTGTGCTGAAAACTATATGTTATAAGGGTACACATAGTGTAAAATGTTACCACACTAATTTCAGAGGCTCCTTTTTTATCGTGGACTATAGTGACAGGCTAAAATAATATTCTGGATTTTATTTAGTCTTCTGCTTTCTAGGCTGGAAGTGGTAACAGGAGAAAGGGATGAAGAGACCCCTCCCCCCCGGAAATGATGACCATTTAAATATATTCAGGGCGAGAAAATAAATACAGGAATCATCTCTAAAAAATACCTTTTGAGGACAAAACTTTAGTTGTTCATTATATTTCTCCCACTTCTCCAGTTAATACATTATCTCTTTTCTCTTTACTTTGCTGAAATAGGAACTGCTCAATGTTTGTGGGGCATATGACTGTCTTCCTAAATCTTCAATGGTTAGCTATTGTGAGTTGCATGTTATTCAGTAGAGACAAGGAGATAAAAATCACAGGACCCGCCTTCGGGAAGCTTGAAGTCTCAAGGCAGAGGAGAAAAAGAAAAGGCCAAAGCCAGTTGGGGAAACGTAAAACTGAGTTCTCCGTTTCATGCAAACTGTGTTCGTTGTGAGGTTATTGTAGTTTTATTTCAGTGTGTATCCTGCCAGGTGGAAATATTTGTGGTGGCTTTTGTTAACTTCCTCTCTTCACGTTGTTTTTTGCAGGAAGTTTTGGAATGGTCTGGTACATGTTTTGGCTTTTGGTGTCTTATGAGAGCCCCGCAAAGCACCCTACTATTACAGATGAAGAACGTAGGTACATAGAAGAAAGCATTGGAGAGAGTGCAAATCTATTAGGTGCAATGGAAGTAAGAACTTTATTATGGTGTATATTTCTCTTATTTCCCATCTCATACTCCTTGACGAAAAACTGTCGTATAAGTCACTATGTCCTATAACTAATTTGGTATCAATCATTTCTTTTCTTTTTTATGCATCTATATTCCCTCCCTCACTTAGGAACGATCGTTCTTCCTTCATCCATAATTTCTCTCTCTCCTTCTCTCTCTCTCTCTCTCTCTCTCTCTCTCTTTTCCCCCCGGTACTGGGAATTGAACTTAGGACTTCTCTCTTCCTAGGCAGCCACAGCACCACTGAATTATTTCCCCTGCTTTCTTTGTCTTTTCTTAAGCATCCTAAAATCTGGCTTTGACTTTAAGTATGACTACAAAACAAGGCAAGTTTTCAAAAATAGCTCTATATGGTTCATCATTTAAACAAATTTAACCAATATGTTCATTTTAAATAATAAGAAATCTCAATTTGATCGTGAAAACTGCCATTTTTTTGCTGAATAAATATTCTAACTTCAGGCTTGTTATATGTGACTCAGAAAACACTGAAGCACTAGAAGACCAGTAATAGTACATGAAAAATATTCTTACCATACTTTAATGTTTTAATTGATGAAATATCATCATCTTTAAAAATTGGAAAATGTGAAGAACATGTTCAGATGAGAAGGGGAACAAGGGAGGGGGAGAGGGAAAGGAAGAAAAGAACAAGAGAAAAAGAATAGAAGGAAAGAAATGGAAACATCTTTTGCAAATAAGGAGAGGAAGGAGAGTCGAAGGAGAGGGGAGGGGAAAGGAAAAAAAGAAACAAGATGGTATCATGTAGAGGTTCCAATTCACTACAAAGAATGTGATCATTATGGATGTCTAGAATGTACCAATAAAAAGTGTAAAACCTATTATTTTGAATACCATCACTTCTAAAGATGATATTATAAAGTGTTTTTCTTTGCATGTGCTTTCTTAGGGAGGATTTGCTCACAGAGAATGAAAATACAGCTCTGTTTCAATAATGCAAATATTTTACTCCATGTGTTATTAATACTCCATACATAAAAGTTAATAGTCACTTAATATTATTTTTAAGTAATCGCCAGCAAAAGCAACATTAGGTATTCTAACTAGTAGCTGTATTTACTTTATACGAAGAGGTGGAAGGTATAATTCACTGATTGAGGAGCGGAAGCCCTTTGTACTTTATACTTGTTCTATTTTTAAAAGATGCTTCCTTGCCCATTCCAAGTGTGTTTGATTTCAGCTCTGATTTACTAATTCATTTGTTAGAAAATGCTTGACTTTTGCATGTCATTCTATTCAGAAAGGTCAGCCACCCATTGTTTCTGAGCCTATTTTGGTTTGTAATGAATGAGAAGTGTCCCATATTGGATATCATTCAGAAGTGAAGTCTTCATTTTTTTTAGTCTATAAGGGTTTTAGTTGTCGCATGGACTAACGAGGTTGGCATTAGACCTTTCCACTTCCTGTTTCCTTCTGCAATGGCTGGATAGTTACTTTCTAAGGGGAGCTAATCAGGAAGCAAGTGAGTATGTAAAGGTGATACTGGTAAAGGGTGCTCTAGTGCCTACCCCCGGCAGCTGCTGTGAGCGGAAGCTAACATAGGTTATACTGAGACCAGTTCCCAAGTTGGCCTTTATCTCTACAGCCCCAGTCCCAAAGAAAGATTTGGATCAACCTTTGGATCCTCATGAGCGCCTTCTTCTTCTTCATTTCTCAGTTCTTGAGAGATCACATGTCCAGATCAAGCATACATTCTTAAAAAGTCAGAACTTTAATCTGTGAATTCCAGTCCCCAGAAATACACCTTAAAAGAAGAGGAATTAGGTTGATAAACCAGCATCATATCCAGCTCCCCCTTTCCTGTGACTTGCTTGTTTTGCAAGTGCAATCTATTTCTTCTGCTGCTGTTTCCTATATGTACTTACAGCTTCACAGTAAATCACAGTAAAGCTTTTTGGAAAACCATGAAACTGCCTGTGTCCACAAGGGATGACTCTGATGCACAATCAGGACACAGAGAGAAATCTGGGAGAGAGGGGGACCCTACCCAGGGGTATCTTTAGAGCACATAGGTGCAAAACTTGTCATTTATTTCACTTTTGTTTTGCTGGAGTATCACAAAAATTAAATGCTTTATGCATAAACAAATAATTTACATGCATCTCTAGAAAAAGAGTATTTTTTATAATCTGAGTAGTCTAAAAGATCTGACACAATTACAGAAATTGCCTAACATCATCTGATATCTAGATCACATTCAAATTTGTAATATCCCATCCATATTTTAATGCATCATCTATTTTCATATTATTTTGTAGCCATGTGTTTTTCATCTGGATCCAATTAAGATTCACAGGTTGCAGTTGACTGGAGTGGTTTTAAATCCTTCTGTTGTTGTTTTTATGTCTTAGAGTATATTGAAATATAATATGAGTGCAGAAAACCCAGAAATCTGTTCTAAATAGAGAACTAAATTTAAATAAACACATCTGTGAAGCACACAGTCAGTTCAATAAATAGTACATTGTCAATCTAGCACCTCTAGCTTGCCCCAATTCTTTATGGTGTGAAATGAGATATTTTTCTGTTATACTGAATGAACTCCTTTATCAGCTGAAGCCAAAAGTTCTTTGGGAAGATGATCCTGCTCTGAATAAAGAAACACTTTCTCAGCTGGGAAACATTGTTTACTTCAGCAACTTTCTGGAGTCATTGCTCACGTGTGGCATAAGTACCTCCATATGGCACCATCTTCCTGGCACATATTTTATTATTTGATGAGCTATACTTTTTGAACCTGCCTATCCTGATGTCACTAGTAGCCTTACCCAAAACCACAATAGCACTTGTATACTATTAGGACTTTTGTTTTTTTTCTTTTTGTCTTCCATGTACTTATGAACAACACAATACTTCTTACTGACCTTTACAAAGCTGATTGTGGGGCTGAATATGGTGGTGTGCACCCATAGCCCTGGCTGCAGGAAACTGGGTGGGAGGGTCAAGAGTTGAAGGCCTGAGCTACACAGCAAGTGCAAGTGGTACCTCGGTTCACAAACTTGATTCTTTCCACTATTCTAGTCATCGGCAGAGGTGGATGGGAATGGAATCAAATTCAGTGGTTAGGTCTGTTTGACTTTATGGGGAAATTTAATTCGGTTCTCATCCAGTTGGGTTTGAGACCAGAATCCTGGAGAGAAGCGAGTTTGTGAACCGAAAACTGCTGTAGTTGTTTCAAACAAACAAAATTATTCCTTACAGGGGCCAGAGATTTAGCTCAGTGGTTCCACTGACTGTCTTGCAAGTGCAAGGACCCGAGTTTGTTCCGCGGTACCAAAAAAAAAAAAAAAAAAAAAAAAAAAAAAATACAAAAAAAAAAAAAAAAAAAAAAGAAAAGATTCGTTATAGCCACAATAATACTAACAACATGTGGATGCATAATCCAGGAATAATCATGAAATCTGTATTTGAAAAGAAGGGGATGAAGAAAAGAGAGGAAAGGGAGAGGGGATAATATATTATTAAGTGATCAAGATATTTTAAAGGTGTGTACCAAATTCCCAAAATGAATTCTTTGTTACTAATTTGAACTAATTAAAAAATTTTTAAATTCTTAGGAGAATAAATGTCATGACTTCCTCTAAAAGAATAATCATGAAATCTGTATTTGAAAAGAAGGGGATGAAGAAAAGAGAGGAAAGGGAGAGGGGATAATATATTATTAAGTGATCAAGATATTTTAAAGGTGTGTACCAAATTCCCAAAATGAATTCTTTGTTACTAATTTGAACTAATTAAAAAATTTTTAAATTCTTAGGAGAATAAATGTCATGACTTCCTCTAAAATAAAATTATTTTAGACTATGTTTACTTTACCAAACTATGTTGAGGTATTCAAAATAATTGTGAAAATACTTGGGAATATAAGTTCTAAAATATTGAAGTATGCTAGGCTTCATTGCCAATGGTCGCCATAAGCAAAGTCCACCATATTCATGCTTTTAATTTTGAACGTCTTGGAGATCACAAATAACACATGATGTGTCCAAGGTGCAGTGGAGGCTGTAATGGCTGCACACAGTGTGTCTTTTACAGGACCTTGCACTCTACCATCATAGAACATATCGATTTCCATGGCTTATCAAGAGAACTTATAGATAGGCAGTGACATAATTGGTGTCAAGAGGATCCAGGAGTGTTTATTCTCCCTCTTTCCTATCATCCTCCTCTCAAGTATATTGAATTTTCAATATTTAATATGAAATAGTTTGGGTATCAAAAGGCCTTATACAACAGTGGGTGGCTGAAAATGCTAAAATGTTTCGAAAACTGTAATTTGTGCTTTGGGAATTTTCTACACACTTGGAATTTGGCATTTTCTTAAAGCTGGAATAATTTAATCAGAAAGATTTCCATTTTATTTTCTCATTCAGTGATTACTTATGTAGCAAAAGTTCACTAGGTGGCTGTCATTGCCCACTCATGGTCTCCAACTCATACCCTGTCATCTACATCTTGAAATATAAAGTATCTGTTATTTTCATTTAAATTAGAAAATACCAAAATACCAAACAATGATTTTTGATAAGTACTATAAATTATTTTTGGAATTGCAGAAATTCAAGACTCCATGGAGGAAATTTTTTACGTCTATGCCAGTCTATGCAATCATTGTTGCGAACTTCTGCAGAAGCTGGACTTTTTATTTATTGCTTATCAGTCAGCCAGCGTATTTCGAGGAAGTCTTTGGATTTGAAATCAGTAAGGTATGTAAAATCAGTCTTATTTGAATAGTGGGTGATTTTTCTTTAAGGGTATAGTGTGTTCTCTCGCCACAAGTTTGTTTCCTAACCTTTTCATGAGTTACTTGTTTATTCAACAAATAACTGCTGGGAAATGGAGGCAAATTAGGTTCCAAGTGTCCTTTGGTATTCTGTTTTCTGCTATAAATTGCCTGTTTTTTTTAAAAAAAGTCTCTTCTAGTGCTGGGAATAAATCCAGTCTCTGCCTTTGTGGAACTCACATCTCATTTGGTTTGAGCAGTTGTGTAGGCTTTTTCTTACAAATATAATTTAACGTAGGTCTCAAGCCAGAGATTACATAACATCGGGGGAGTAAAAAGGTATTCTGTTTGAGGGGAAATGTACTTAGATAATTGTCGACCTCTTATTCAAAGTTCTCAGATACCTGTGCTGTTCAAAGAAACAACTTTGGAAACAACAATCAGCATAATCTGCAGAAAATGTGCTCATACTTTCTTCACCCAATTTGTTAATTTAAGAAGCATTTGTTGAATGTTGTAGGTGAAACTTTGTGTTAGGCTCAGAGATAAAAGCATGCTTTCCATCCCAAAATATTCACAGCTTAGTGGTGTAGACAAAAATCTGTTGCCTCTCTCAGCACAGCACTCTAAGTACCACAGACACTGGTTCATAGCTATGGAAGCATCATCATTTTCACATTTTCTATGAGAATAAAATGAACTTAAAAATATCACTTCATACCGGGATTTTTGAAATTTAGACAATTCTCTCATATTCATGAACAACTTTGGCTCACCGGCTAGATCGCTATCATCATTTCTGTTCAACCGATGGGGAAACAGAAACAAAGGGAATGATTTAAATTACCTAAAGCCACGGCAGTAATAAGTGATAGAATCAAGAATAGGCCTTAGTCTTTTGATTTCCATTTGTTCAGTTCCCTTTACTCTGCCTTTCAAATTCAGGTAAACCCGAGACCCATCCAAGCACTTAGCAAGTATTTATTGAATGCTCTGCCTGTGACCAGCCTTGGCTGAGGGCTGAATACTCTTGTCTGGGGCTGGCCACTGTCTTGTCATCCCCCCAGTGTCATTACCTAAGTCCGGCCTGGCTCTCATTCTTCATATTGTGTCTGTACTTAAAAGAGTATCCGAGGGCTGGGACTGAGAAAACCTGAATTAGGAGTAGCTATTCTAAGAGCTCTTTTGTGATCCTTGTTTCTAAGGGAACTGTTTCCTCTGTCGCTGAGAAGAATGAATGCTTTAGACAGGGCTGTGCTCCCTGGGCCTGATCAAACATTGCAGGGTGGCCTCTGGGAGCACTAAGAGGTCTTACACTTCTACTCAAAGGCTGCGGCTGGATGTGTGAGTCCGTTTTCAGAATCTAGGACAGATTTGACACTGAGAGGCTATTCACGAAGCCAGATATCATGGGGGAGAGTAAAGGAGTCAGGGTATATTAATAAAATTATCTGGTCACACTGGCCATGTCTCTCCAATGAATAGAAAATGCTTGAGTGAAATCAATGATATCTTGCAAAAACTGGATATACTAAATTTCTCGATTTGAATCTCCTGTCCCATCTTTAATTAAAATTCTGGATCACAGATTGGTCTGGAGACTTTGACTAGTTTGCTAGAAATCAAAATGCTCTGATTTACCTGAAAAGCGTGGTAAGGAGAAGATGGAGATTAGCAGCATAGCCGTGGGACTCTGTGGGTGAGGATTCTGATGCAGCTTCTACAGTGAATGGTAGTGCGTGACTTTAGGCTGCTTTGGGGATAAATGTCAGCCTCAGTTTTCCTATCTTGGAATAACGGTATTAGTATCATCTTTCACTAGTGCAGCAAATTTTAAATGAAATAGAATATTTATGTCGAAGATGGTTCTCTCAAATCGTCATTAAATTGGATATCCTACAGATTAAAGCATACATATGAGTGTATATTATATAATATACATTTGTATATACAACATGTATTATGTTATTTAGTTATATATAGAATATATTAGAACTAATATATGTATATACACATATAAATTAGCTATATAAGAGAAGTATATTAGTTAACTAACACACACACATATATATATATATATATGTATATGTATAAAATATTATTTTTGCTTAAGCTAATGTGAAAATATCCAGCCATTCTGAGAGTGGTATATCAGGTAAGGGCAATATCATGATGAACAAGCACTTTGAGTGATCAGAACACAGTAACCATCCAAAGGAGAGAAAACTTCGTAGCTTTAGAATTGCATGTTTAGGGGAGGAGGAAAACAGTGTTGAGAAGCTGCTCTTTGCTGCTGTGTAGCCTGTACATTTTTTATGGAGTATGGATGAGATGGAGGGATCTGCAGTCCAAACTGTGACCCAGGGAAGGAAGCGGGTGGGGGAACTGGGCAATATCTAATGACCTGGGGTCTCTATAAGGAACCCGCTATAGACTCGAAATATTTAGCTTCCTCTTGCTTCAGATAATGAGCAAATTGGTAAATGATTATCCTAAGTAATAATACCGTAAAAAAGGTGTGATCATTCTCTTCCTGTGGCAAGTGATGGCTCATGTCCCTGAAATTTAGGGAGACATTTGCCCAACATCCAGGAGGTTTTTTGCACCTGCAGGCACCATGTTGAGGTCCTGGGCAGACGGAATCTGTCTATTGCTTAAGGAAGTAGGAGTTTCTAAATCTTTACATGTGAATTCTATGGGCTAAAATATTCCAAAACTTCTGTCTCATTTATTTGTTTGTTTGTTTGTTTTGTGCTGGGGATAGAAGTCAGGACCTTGCATTTGCTAGGCAGGAGGCAGCACCACTGAGCTAAATCCCTGGCTCCATCTGTCTCTTTTAGCTTCTCTCTTGTTATTCCCTTGAATTTCCCTTTATGCTTTGCAACACACTTTGCAGGAAAAATAAATAAATGATAATCGTAGCTTTGTTCTTTGCATATTGAAAGTAATAAAATGCTTAAATGGATAATAAATAACAGGATGTTCAACTTAGGAATTTTGCAGCTACATCAAATACTAAGTCAAAATACAAGTTAATTTTGTGGGCTTGGGAAATGCAATCCCTCTCAAGCTTTTAGTCACCTTTATGATTATGAAAAACACGGCACAATGAGTCCTGTTGGAACTCACCTGTAAGCCAGCACCTGGGAGGCTGAAGCAGGAAAAATGTCACAAGTTGGAGGCCAGCCTGGGCTACAGAGTGAGTTCAAGGCCAGCCTGAGCTTATACAGTGAGACTTTGTCTCAATAAAACCACAGCACATTGTGTTTTAGAATTTTTTTTGGGGGGGCTGGGCATGGTGGTACACGCCTGTAATCCCAGCACTCAGGAGGCTGAGGCAAGAGGATCACTGTGAGTTTGAGGCCAGCTTGGGCTACATAGTGAGTTACAGGTCAGTCTCAACTACATAGTGAGACACTGTCTCAGCAAAAGCAAAAAGTAAATAAAAAAATAAAAAAAATAGGATGTTTTTTTCAATGACTTTTTTCTATATATTAATTGCATGAAATATATCAATTGCAATAAAGAAAAATAATCCATATTTATAGCATTACAAAACATAATACCTACATTTTGGAAATGCCCAATATGTTCATTTGCAGATGAATGGATAAAGAAAATGTGGTATTTGTAGACAGTGAAGTACTACTCAGCTATTAAGAAGGATACATTTGAGTCATTTCTAGGAAATTAGATGCACCTTGAGATCATAATGCTATCAAAATGAACCAGGCACAGGAGGTTAAATATTCCAGAGTTTCTTTTACATGAAAACCCCCAAATATAAATAATTTAAAAAGCAAATTAAAACTATAAGAAGTAAGGAGACAGGCCTTTGCCACAAGGTAAGAAGATCTATGGATGAAAAGAGAGGGGAGGCAGAGGGCTTGGAGGGGAAGTAAAAAGTAGTGGGGTGTGAATGTATGTGTCCAACCGCTGATGGTAAATGCATTCATTGCATACCTCATATACTTAAAAAAAAAAAAAAGTAGGGCTGGGAATTTAGCTCAGTGGTTCTGCCACCTGCCTTGCAAGCACAAGGACCTGAATTTGATCCCCAGTACCAATAAATGAATAAATAAATAATGAATAAATAAATAAAATAAAGGAGTTCTGTATGTTTTCTAAATGTTCGTTTCAAAAGCAATAACACTGGTCCTAAGGTCAATTTGTGTTCTATCTTTATTTATCTCAGATTTGTGGGCCCCGTATTAAATGCCAGATTTGGACTTCACTGAGTTCATTCACATGCGTTTTCTGTTTTTATTTTATTTTTTTTTTCTTTCACAGATGGCATTGATGCTTAGAACACAGGGTCAGAGCTCAGTCTTTGGACACAGGTGGAATGAGTTTAAAACTTACTCCTGACAACCACTCCACCTTTCTAAGCCTCGGTTTCCTTATCTAATAACACTATTTTAACACTTCCCTCTGGGGTGGAAGAAAAAATGAAATAGTCCATACATTGGTAATGACTTAGAGTCACTCCCTACTGTAGGTCATTACAAAATCCTGAGTTCATGATTGTTACACCACGCTGTACACCCCCCCTGTACAAGAAAACAGCATTCTTTCTCACTCCTTTCGTATTCTTTTTGGAAAGATGTACTTATCTACAAATAATCCTTGTCTGGTATTTAACTATGCCCAAAATTGTGCTTCAAAGTATACGTCATGAGAAACTTCCATATTCCACCTTTGCACTAAAAATTTTGCTAAACTATGGTAATACGCATTTAAATGGTTTGTTTATCCTCCCTGCTCCTGTGTCCAGAGAACTGTGGTTTGCACACAATTAATGGTGAGCGCTGTGTGCTTTGATGTTGGGTAGGTTTTTGATCAGGCTGAGAACAATACCATGAGTTTGGGGACTGCACACTTCTGCATGATAGTTACTACATATAGATATTTGGCAGGAAATACCTAAAATTGTGATCTGAATATTCTCGACTTTTACTCTGCACCAATTAAATACTTGTTATAAATTCTTAGTGTTATCATCCAAACGTTCAGTTCTTAGCTTTATGAGTTAAAGATGAATTTTTTTAAAAAGCCTTTAAGGCGTGTCAAATGGACTTTTCCTCTTTATATCGCTTCCTCCCCTGTTTCCTTGCTCTCACAAATGATGAATTTGTGGGAAGACAGCAAAGAATATAAAAATGGACAAATAAGCATTGAATCACTCAGCGATAAGACTCAGGACAGTTAATTTGTGAGCCCAAAATTTACTGGCTGCTAACAGCAGTGCATTCTCCTCCATCAAGAAGACAAAAGGGAATCAAAGCCAGTTTAGTTAGCCTTTCTCGAACGTTCTGCGGAAGTGCTGCTTGGAGTGAGGAAGTGGTCACTTGGAGCCGATCTTGTGCCTTCCTTTGCGCACAACCGATTCTGAAAGCCACGCCCACTGAGTTACCCACGCACATCTCCCCGCTTCTTGTTTTGCACCAGGTGGGCATGCTGTCCGCTGTACCCCACTTAGTCATGACGATCATTGTGCCTATTGGGGGACAAATTGCAGATTTCCTGAGAAGCAAGCAAATCCTTTCTACGACCACAGTGAGGAAGATCATGAACTGTGGCGGTGAGTGTACACGTGGAAATCAGGACATGCTTTTAGTTCCCTCAGTCCTGACACGCGAGGGTGAACAATTGCTCCGCACGTATCAAACGACTTAGTTAAATTTGTGCCCGCCTTGTTTATTGCAGATCATTTTCTCATCTCGATTCAAATTTCCCATTGCTCCTAGTTTTAACCACTGCAGAACACCGTTTGTGTTTATTGTAATTAACTACCTTTCCTGCCATTGAAAATTTAGGTTGGTTTTAGCATTTTCATAACAGAACTCGAAGAAAACGTCAGCAATCTCCAGCATATATTACTCTCTTTAGTTTCTGTGTTTCAGTGTAGGCTTCACTAGTGCGGATGTGTGGGTCCACAGATAGAAGCACTTTTAGCAGTTTTAGCTCGCTGGTCCAATTTTCACAGACGTCCTATGTCTTTCCATCTGCTTGCTTCTGAAGGTTTTGGAATGGAAGCCACACTGCTGCTGGTGGTTGGCTATTCTCACACTCGAGGGGTTGCCATCTCGTTCTTGGTACTGGCAGTAGGATTCAGCGGATTTGCCATATCTGGTGAGATACTCTTATTTCTGCGCACGCGACATCCTAATTTTGGCTGGTGATTCTGTGTACACAAGTGTAATGGAGTAACAATCAAGACATTTAGAAAAATCGCTTAAATTGGTAGTGCTCACCGCCTCCCCAGCTTATTGTTTCTTTCTTTGTGGTGGAGTTTGCTTCTTTTGTAAAGAGAATATTTCCTTCGCTGTAACCAGCAAGCGCCGAGAAAATATTGGACAAGAAATTAGACCTCGTTCCATTCTCACTATACCCCTGAGGTGAATTATCCAAATGTCATCACTAAGGACACTCTCTGTCCCTGGTATCATCTAAGGAGTGCTGAATAGCTCTCTAAGTGCCTACCTCTAAGGGGTTGAGGAGATCCCTGAATCAATGTTCATGTGTGGGTTCCAGGGTTCAACGTGAACCACTTGGATATTGCCCCGCGATACGCCAGTATCCTAATGGGCATCTCAAACGGCGTTGGCACACTGTCGGGAATGGTTTGCCCTATCATCGTTGGTGCAATGACAAAGAATAAGGTAAGAAAGGGGAAGACGAGTGTTCGGGTGTGGGAGAGTCTCTGTAGCGGTCAGAAGAGTTGCTACGTTCTCTTTGACACACTCTGGCTCAGTCACCTCCCTTAAGAGTAGGGAAGCGCCCTGAGGCCCAGAAGAAAATCTCTCTAGGAATCCTGAAAGGATTCACTTGTCCAATCGATAAGCAGGATTTTTCTCAACCCCATTTAACAGCCATTTATTTATTTATGGCTTTGCCGGGTTTTGCACTCAGGGCAATGCACAATGCCCCTGTTTCGCTAGCCCTGATGTGGCAGAAATAATTTTTATCCTAACATCTAATTAAAGTAGGCCAGCAGAATTTTTCTCGGCTTTATCTGTAACCTTTGATTCAGATTCCTCTGCAGTTTTCCATGGGGACATTTTATAATCAGCTATTTATCAATGTATATCTATACAGCACTTCAGAATTATCATCTAACGGAAGGAAATAAAAGGAGTGAAATAAAAAGATATGTACATCCACAGTCATGAAAAGAGAACATGAATATCTTAAAATTCAATGGCAGTAGACAGATTGAGAATTTTACTTCAGAACTGTTATGTTAAAACATCTATCAAAGAAATAGTGGTATAGACTGTTTTTTCTGAAAGTGTTAGCTTTCTGTAGCCAGAACCTAGATATTCTGAAGGCAGTATTTCTCGAAATGCATGCTGATTGAGTGCTCAGAGGTGGTCTTGTGCTCTTTAATTGTGGGGGGATTCCACTTACAGTGTCACTTTTGTTGCTACAGTCACGGGAAGAGTGGCAGTATGTTTTCCTGATCGCTGCCCTTGTCCACTATGGTGGGGTTATCTTTTATGCAATATTTGCCTCAGGAGAGAAGCAGCCCTGGGCAGATCCGGAGGAAACAAGCGAAGAAAAATGTGGGTTTATCCATGAAGATGAACTCGATGAAGAAACAGGGGACATTACTCAGAATTATATCAATTATGGTACCACCAAATCCTACGGTGCCACGACACAGGCCAATGGAGGTTGGCCTAATGCTTGGGAAAAGAAAGAGGAATTCGTACAAGAAGGAGTACAAGATGCATATACCTATAAGGACCGAGATGACTATTCATAACAAAATTAATTGATGGATTTATTTTTAGTGCTTGTGATCGAGTTCAGTGTGATTGCACACAGAAAATTAAAAAAAAAACGTGGTGTAAACATGTCAACATATCAACCAGGCAAGTCTTGCTGTAAAAATGAAATCAAACCCATGAAATCACCACCAAGTGCAATCTGTAGAAGTTGTAAAATGGCATAATTTGCATTCAGGTCATCCATTCTTGCCTTTGTGATTTAAAGGTTCACTGTAGAAACAAGTAGTTAATCCATCGGATTCATAGGAACTAAAATCCATCACCATTTAACAAAGCACAAACATCTGGTATATCCCATCCTACACAAGTTAGGAAGCCAAAGCGACTTGATCATGCAACACGCACTTATATATTTGTTACACTGAATTGCAAGATATCTCACAGAAACCCTGTCTTGCAAAAAGGGAACCAATCCCCTTGGCTGCACCAGATACTCACAACGTTCAGTAAGTGAAAGTTATGGAGTTGAAATCTCTCAGTGGGTGAAGTATATTGAGTACCAGCAGCTCGGGAGTTATACCAGATGATTACTAGGAGTGTGTAAAATGGGATATTTTGTGATCCAAAGGAGTATCTTGCAGTGTTTTATATGAAATGCTTGGGCACAAACGCTTATTTTTGTGAAAGAGAACTTGTAAAGTGAGGGGTGTGCTTCATCTTCTTCCAATTATTACCTAACAGTATGAAACGCTTCACAGTTCAATACATTCGACTTTTTGTGTAGCATATCACATAACTTTTTTGCAAAAAATATAAAAAGATATAGACTTTACTGTATTTTTATTACAACTTTGTATTGGTTGTAACTTGCATTAGGGGGGAAAAAGATATATACACCATAAAGAATCTAATAAGAAATTTATTATGAAGATATAACCCTTAAAATGCAATATTAAAAACAAAAGAAGTAGAAAATGGTTTAGATATCCTTCTTCCTTAATAATGAAATACTATATGAATCTTGTGCCACAGAACTATATATAATATGAAAAGTAAATAATAGAGATATTGTAAGTAGACAATTTTATTATTTAAAGTCCCACTTAAGAGATATTTGTCTTAAATATATAGGACAGTGAATTCTATTAAGTTGTATCTATATATATCTGTATATCTTATACAAATCCATACACACAGAAACACAATAAACAATCTTCACACAAACCAAAAATAGCATACACCTAATGTTGGGTTAGGGGATTGTAATTTCTACTTTCACAGAGTCATAGAGTTTTAGATAGGGAGGAGGTATTTTGCTTGTCATTTCTTAATATAAATCAACAGGAATTACAACATTTGTGTACCAAGCAATAAGTGCAATGCATACAATTTCCTGTCTATATATTATCTTCATTTTGCTTGTGGTAGCTATTTGGGTGGTTGGAATGATTTCTTTTATTTGAAAAGTTAACATCAGGTTGCTTTTATTGTTCTACAATGATAATAATGCATTTCCCAATTCAATTCAAAATGTTATTGGTGTATTTAATTGTCTGTTCTGAATATTTGATCTGTTCATTGTATTGTGCTAGTGACTGGAAGCCCTGCTACTGCAAATATAAACCATAAAATTTATTTCAAAATACAAACCATTCTTGACCTTAAGAAAATGAAACTACCTTTTGCTTTGTGTCTCAAAGTGATTTAATGTGACCGTAGCTTTTATTGTGTTGAATAAAATGATGTGGACTGTCATTTTGTTGCAGCAAAAAAGGTGTTAATAAAATGCTCTACTTATGCTTTTGGAAGAACAGTACATTAAATTGGGCTTATTTTATTTAGCTTGAAGTTTTAATGTGAACTTTGCTTGTGGGCAGCCCGGTGAAGCCAACGGCAGACTGCAGAGTAGCAGCCCTTTTTAGCATCTTGGGATGTAAGGGAAGATTCTTGCTTTCTTTAGAGTGTGTGGGATTTAATTCTGTAGGGAGAGTTCTAAACTAAGCACTAGGTCTGAGTCAAATTCCATCTATCCCTGGCAATACTGTCACAACCACTACTAAATTTAAAGCAAAATTTGGAAACAAACTTACAACTTGTCAGCTCAGTGCTACCACCTAGTTCTCATTGCCTGTTCTGCCAGTCGTGTTTTGGTTAGCGTATTGTGTGACTCAACAGTGAGCCACCAGAATAGATATTAATCTCTTCTAAGTTTACGAATGAAAGCAAAGGAAGTGTGGAAAGTTTGAACAGCTTTCCTGTGTTACAATAGAGTAATGGTACTGGAGTGTAATGTTTCAACCAGTCCAACTGACAGTAAGCCAGGCAGCCGGCAGGATGTCTTTGTCCTGGCAACGTGATCGCTTAGCTCTTCGTCTTGGGGAATGTGGAAAGGGGAGACTGGTTATGTAATCTGTATGTGAGGAATATGTAGAATTTAAGCTCCATAAAACCTTCTGGGGGGGGCGCTTATGCGATGATTTAGCTGCACCACTGATTTAACAAAGTGGGACACTGAAATTCCATAAGCGGAACCCATTTGATCAAGGGGGCCCTGAGATTGTTGTGGATTTTGAAATAAATTAGCATAGTCATCTGTGCTTCCTGTCCCTCTCTCTCTCCCTCCCTCCCTCTCTCTCTTTCTCTCTCTCTCCTTCCCTCCCCTCTCCTCCCCTTCCCTTCCCTCTTCTCCCCTTCCTGCTTACCCTCCTTCTGTTCCTTCCTTCCTTCTTTCTTGCCTTGGCTCCTTTGTGCTTTTTTCAGACATGGTTTTGCTCTGTATCCTAGGGAGGCCTTAAACTCTCCATCCTCCTGGGTGCTAGGATTATACTTTAATGCCACAAGGGCTGGTTTAAAAACTACCTTATTTCTGTTTTTAAATGAATTGATTAATGAAATGGGTCTTTCATGCTTCACTCAGTAACTGGGATCCATCCCTTAAACTCAGCGCTCCAGAGAGAAAAGTAGCCCAATATGTTGCATCTTGTCTCTTCCCACCATGCCCCGCATGAAGACTCAATGAGCAGAGACCCAGCCTAATTCTTGAGGAGGCCACATAATGTCTTTTCACAACTTGATGAGAGGAATAAAAACAATGAGAAGAACACCTAATTTCCTGGATTCCACAACAAAAATTTATAGCTCCTGTAAGAAAATTATTCTAAGAATGTCTTCCAATATTACCACTGGTCACATTAATTACTCAGAATTATATAGTTCTTGTTCTGTTTTCCTCTTGTCTCTGCTTTTTTTTTCTCATTTTACATATATATCACCCCATTTCATCTTCACATCTGACTTATAAAATCAAAAGGGCACCTTCCATTATGTTTCTATTTTCTATGAAGATCAGGGCTTTGAGAGTATAAGTAACTTTCTCAGGATTCCCCAGATAGGAGTGAAACTAGAATAGATGGTTTGACCACAGCAAAAAATGTTTTTCCTCTTCACCTCCTCCTCCTCCTTCTCCTCCTCCTCCTTCTAGCACTTAGATATCACTTCATTAGGTAATATCAGTATTAAAAACGATAAACGTAATCAACAATTCTGTTGTCTAGAGGTGCACTGTTAACTTTCCAGAATCTGTTCTATGAAAAACACAGAAAGCTTACACACGTATTTTGTAATTTGCAAATTTGAAGTTATAGTTGATTAACTTTTGCAAGTCATTTCTTTCATGTAGCAGTCTAGTGTGTGCTTCCTATTTAAATAGAGTTCCAGATTCATCACTGTATTACATAGTGTGACCCACAGCCCTGAGTGCCCTATCAGTAATGATAGGCCACTACACCATGGTCCCCTCAGATCACAGAAGCTGAAAGATGCCTTTTGTCTGGTGACAGCACAGGCATCGCAGTGTCAGTGCACAGCACATTCATTATTCATGTTTGTGTGTGTGTGTGAGGCTAGTGCAAACAAGCTTGCTGTGCCACTGCTCTTCTAAGAGTATGTAACATACAATTTGTGTACAGTACACGATACTGGACAATGATAGTGATCCACTATGTGACTGACTTATTACTTACGGTAGTATGCATTTTATCGTTTGGAGTCTACTCACTGTATTTACCAAAATGTTCATTGTTAAGAGCACACCACATCGTGACAGTAGCCTGGCTCCTCACATCTTTTGCTTGCACTATGAGGCCAGGATAAGTGTTTGTCCCACTGTCTGAGCTTGTGTAAGTCCACTCTGCTGCTCACACAGTGACACGATCACTTAGCGACGTGTGTCTTGGACTGTGCTCCTAGGCAGCATGTGGCTTTACATTTACCTGTTTATTTCGTACCTTACTTATGAATGCTTAATTATTTTCAATTTTGGCAACTGTCACCAGTGGTGTTATGAATATCTTCATGTGTTCACATTTGTACCCTTTTCTCTATATCTTTGGGCACACATAGACCTTATTGGCAAAATGCAAAGTCACATTGGCATGTCCGTAGCCACGACGGGTATTCAAGTTACCATCCAAGGTTCATTGTTTCCAAATGGGTCTGTACAAATGCTACTGGCAATCAGCTTTTCTGGGGTTCATGTGCTAATGCACATTTCCATTCAGAAGATGTTTATTAAGCATACGCATTCATCAGGCATGGGGAACACAGGTGAGAAGACAAGACCAGTTCCCAAGGTGTTTGCCTGGATTCCAGCTGCAGAAAGAGGTTACACAGACGTGACCAAGTGAAGAAACTCCTGCATACAAAGCTCTCATCATAGTGAGAAAGGATTTTTCTTAATTCCCCAGATTCCCAAAGGCAGGCTGCTTTCAGGATGCTACTCATGTATTGTTTAGAAAATTAAAGTGAGGAAATTTTATTTCGCCTCCTATACCCATGCTACCAGGTGTCTAAGTCATTGGCGAAAATCAGAACCTAGAAAATCAAGTCCAGTGCAGGAGAAGAGACTTTCTAAATGTCCAAGTGCATTTTCCAGTTCTCCTTCGAGTTGCTCTGTTGTTTTCCTCCCCGTGCTTCTCATCACCTGTGTAGGTTTCCCCACCCCCCTCATTTTCCCCTTCATCCATATGTGGACTCCTTAAGTTTTAAGCACAAATGGAGGCTACTGAAATTTAATCTTTGCATAGTGATGCAACCGGAAGGATTTTTCATGTATGTCTCCATCCTAATCCAGGCTTTGATCCTGATTCTTCATTCAGCTGCTATCAAGAACACTTTCTGTGAAGGCCGATCTACTACTTCTGTGGAGTTTGGCCCCATGAAATGCTCAAACTTCCCCAAAGTTTCCCATGGGTGCATCAGCCGCCTAACAACTGCATTCCCTGAATATATTGCCCTGTGCTGTGCCTGTGCTAAACAGCATTTATTGAATAAAGCCCTTGGCGTTCATCAGGAGGAGACAAAAGAGACATCTCTCCAGTTTTGTTAACTACTACTGGATGACAGTTTTGTTTACTGTACCCAGTCTGTGCTAGGTAATCCTTGCATTTCCCAGTGTGAGGAATGCTCTTCCTGATGCCTTCGTGTGCAGGTAACCATTCCATATGAAAGGTTTCCTTTACAAGGAAAATGAACTGTGGGCTTTTCGGTTCATCCCCTATTTTTAGGTCATGTATTCATTTATATTTAGCTGCTCTCTTTTCCTGTTTGTCCGTTTAGATGTTATTTACCTTTGATTTTATTGTAAAGGAGAGTGTGAGGGTGTGAATGTGGGATTCAGGAATAATAACAGAGGTGGAGATGCTCATTTAATTTTCACAATAACCTTTTGCGGTAAGTACTATTGTAAATGTGCTTCGATAAACGAGGGAACTGAGGCACAGGGAAGGTGCAAACCTCACCTGACTTCCCAAAGGCGGAATGTGAAGCCAGAGTGTGAACCCAGTCTCCATATCCTATAGGATTCATGACTACAGCCCATTGCCATTACATATTTGTGTGGCTTGGAGAAGTTACTTAAGTTCTCCCAAACTCCACATTTTCTATCTATAATACAGCACGCTGGTGCCCAATTTAAAGGTGGCTTTATGATTAAATTGGTAATATATAACGTGCCTGTCACATCACTCTGCATTTTAGTAAGTGTTTAACAGGTTCCATTTCCCTACCCTCCATAACCCAGGATACTAAATAAAAATAATACATCAACTTTTCAGATCTGACGTTGGTGTAGGACCCTTCACAACAGATTGTTTCAGAAACCATCTAAGGGTAGTTTAACCATGGCTACGATACTCAAACTGATTGCTTACGATATTTTTCTATTTATGTTTTATGAGTTGTGTATGATATTAATCAAATGTAGAATAATGTGCATTTAAAACACTAATTATGTAAAATACTATAGTAATATAACTGTGCTACATACCCTATAACAAGACAACAAAGACATGAGCTGCATCTGGGGAGGAAAGAAGAAACTATTTAGCAAAGCATAAAAAAGACCTTCAAATTTGGTATTTTTTTTTAACCTGAAAGAAGATCTAATGCAAATAATATAAAATGCCATTATTTGTTTATCCTTGGAGTTTACGTATAGATTTTTATTACATTTGTCACACAATGTTCTGTATTTTAAAACTCAAAAGTAAGCAAACCAGATATGCTATTTACCCCAGAAAACATAGATCTTATAGTACTCCGATCTTTTTATTTATTCATATTTTTTAATCTCTGGGCTTCCAATGAAGATATTGTAGTGATATCCAAGGACGTTTGACAGGTTTTGAATCCATAAAGGTTAATTCAATAGCCTTGGGAAAATGTTTTTATTTTATAGAGTCAAGGTAAAGGAGGAAATGTACATGTTTGTGAACAGATTTATGAATCCAAATGGAGTTCTCTTGCTCAAAGCCAGCAAAGGCTTGCATGAG